AGTTAAACTAGAGGTAGAAATTATTTTTATAATCAATTTTTAACCGACATTAAGAGATAACACAAAGCTTAAAATTCTAGGAAAAATAGAATTTTCTATCTTTTAAATACAACGAAAAGGCGATAAATAACATCCACCTGTCAATTAAATTAAGCGTTTACAATGATAACAGAATAAACCTGCTTGTAATACTATCACGAGCGATGTGCGAGAATTTTCAATTGGAATTAACAAAACCCCTGCGCACTGTTAAGTAAGTACCTACCGTATCGACAGTATCCGCGACTATTCCTGAATCTACCGATTGCAGTCGAGTACGGTACAATCAACACTAGGCGCGACACCACTGTCTTTTTTCTACTCGGCAAAACCGGTAAATTCATACCCATACAAAACATAATAATTTCCAATGATAAAAATTCATGCAATATCACGACGATTTTCACGTCCACGTCAACGTCTACTCTACATTATCTCATAATTTAGCCATTTTACTGAAAATATGCGATGGGTAACATTCAAACGCGTTTTAACATTAATATTTCAAGAAAACAAATTGACAATTTTTGATTAGTTAGTTTAACAACTTCTATACCAATGCGGGATATGTAAATGTGGTAGTAGAGACTACTATACTATTAGGTATCTACTAAGTGCATCTATAAAACGTTACTAGCATTTATATGGAAGTCTTGCTATTCCATTGTATGAAGTTCCGTTATGGTGTTTAATTTTATTAAAGCCAGTTTACCAGTACCTATCGATCGGTTATACCTTTCAATAATGCTGCGACATTCTACATTGCGTTTAGGCTGTGCTAAATAGAATTGCGAATGCATAAGTTTGTGTTTTTGAGACAATGGATTACTGCATGGCATAAATTCAAATTCATAATGTATTCGGTGCAAGAGTGTAACGCGACAGTAAGGATATCCAGTTATGTGCAAAGTGGTTAAGTGCAAGTGCTAATGGAAGCTTTCGTAAAGCTAGTGCATATCCATGTTAATGAGCAGTCAAATAGTAACGTTATTTCACTACTCATACTCGAAGCCGCAGTTACGTAATTATATACACTTCATAAGGGAATTAGTAATACCAATCAAATACAAACTATAAAAACAAAAATAAAGTAGACACTCATACAATGCAACATTAGAATGTAATGCGTTGTACAACACTTTAATTTTGCTAAAATGGCATGTAACAATTAATCCCTTACAAAAGGTGATATCAGAGTAGTTTTCGTGAGGTGCTTCTTCAGCATTAAATAAATTAAATCCATTAATGATCGTTCGACCGTGCTTTATAGATATACGTTTTCACTTGCGCTTGGTTGATTCGATTTTATTGAAAGTACTTTGAAGAACCTCTCCTTTACAGCTCTCAATATTAACATTTTTACGTTATATGTAAATGTTTCAATGCAAACAGACATCTCCACTTCTATTTCTATAGCGCTTTTTCAAGTATCCTCACTTAAATAAAATATACTTGCAGCAGGAATTGTCAATATACATTCTAGGTAACGTAACCAGATTGTAACTGCAGATCACCTGCACGTGACAATTCCCTGTTGAGTTATAAACATACACACAACATTCTGTTGGACAATTTTTAATTCCCGGTCAAAATACAGCTACTTAAATTATAACTGTTTGGGAGTTTATATCATTTTGTAGTCCAAAAGAAAAGCAGTTAAATTTTTTTTAGCACTGTAATCCTGATAGAACTTGCAGGATCATTGCTTACAAAACTGTATCGCCAATTTGCCGAGTACTTCCCCAGTGCAAATCTACCTTATGATGCATTGTTTTACCGTAGACGGTCCCCGTTCATCGCTTTGTAACCGGGAACGAATCACCCCATTTGTAAAAGTAGGTAAATATGGAAAATAGTTCTACGCTTAAATGACCGCTGCGCTTCACAATTCATTTTTAAAGTTTAATTTAACGTGGGAGAAGTGTATCTCAAAAATAAAATTCAACAACTACAGAGAGCTTGAACATTGCAAATGTTTTTATCCTTTTCTAGAACTGCCTTGAAAATGCGCAAAAACACGGCAGATGGTTTTGAAAGCTAATCAGAGGTTCTATAGCATTCTACACATTTTGGCATAAAATTAAAAATTATTGTTCCAAATTACAAATGGTGTAGGTTCAAAAGCAAAATTATTAATTTACTTACTTTTCTTCAAGTTCGTTAGTTTATAAATCTCACCGACGGCGACGCTTCGTAGGTGGGTGAGGGTAGGCACTCACGTTCAAAACTAACAATTCATGGGTGGAAAAAAACCCGAATTCTCCCCAATGGTAATTACGTACACTGTTATATAAAGTAGAAATAGTTCGAACTACAATATTCGTTGTTGCTTATTTTATTTTTGACAAGTATTTTGATCCTAACGTCTTATGCGATAATTTAGACGTGAATTTGATACGTTTTTCTCAGAGCTGTGACTATTCGAAGTAACGCTTTCTTTCGTGGTTTCATTAGTCGAAGAACAACTATGAGTGACGCGCCCTCATACCTACATACCTATTAGGTACCTACTATTATAAGTACAGGGTGTAGCACCTAAGACCCCTCGGATCATAATTCCTTTACCATGAAAGATACCGAAAAAAAACAGAGCAAAATTGTACACATTTACCGTCGCCATATTTCTAAAATATTTTTGATCACCAGGGGCGTGCTGTATTCCAGTGGCGTATCAAACTTGCGTTTTTTTTTAAAGGGAACATCTCATATTTTATTACTGATTTGGAGAGTACTTAAAAAGTGCTTATATTCTTTATGTAACATGTTATACCCCTAACTTTATCGGTTTCGCTGTTATAACCTTTTTTCCTCAAAATTTGTCAGTTTTTCCAAATTTTTTTTGAGAGGAACTTAATCGCGCAAGACCTCTTCCACAGTCACATAATTTTTTTTGGATGCATTATCAAAAAAATTAAATTTTTGATTGACTTCGCCAAATGTCATACCTATTTTTTTTCAAATTTTAAATGGCATCTCCTTAAATAAATTATTCCATAGTGTACTTTGAGTATGATTATACCTCAGGGTAGCCAAACCAAATTTTCCACTGATGCAAAGAAACCAAAAGAAAATTTCAGAGAAAACCCGAAAAGTCGAAACGCTAATTTGTAAAAAAAACCTTATTTTCCGAACCCAAGTGTGCCGTGATGAAACAAAAGATTCTCACAATTAATAGTAAAGTAACTGTTTTCTAATCAACGTTGCAAAAATATCCCAAACTCAAGCAGGAATGGTCGATATAGTGATTATTCTGAGACCGCTACCTACCTGAATTGCTTGGCGTCACTAGTGTGCGCTGTGAGATATCATATACACTGCCGACACTGTACTGGTAATTGTGAGAATTGAACATGTTTTGTTCCATCATGGCACACTTGGGTTCGGAAAAGAACTACAAATTGGTCTTTCTCTGAAATTTTCTTATGGAATGTGTGGTTTTGTTTATATCAGTGTGTGCCGTATTTCGATATCAAAAGAAAAGGAACAATAAAACTGTTCTCATATCGAAGGCAAAATAAAAATGCACACATGCGCACCGGCTAACTTTCTTTATTGAGTTACTGTTAAATTGCTACTCGTAAGTTGTAATTAAGGTACTTGCGATTGTGAGTGGCCGGTCTTCCTCCGGCTCGTCTGGTTCTGGGTAGATGGTAACGTAAAAGGTCCTTAATGTAAACTGGCGAGGCGATTGGTCCGATGCTCGGTATTACAATTAGGTAGGTATATCAATAACCAAAACAAAGATGCTAAAATATGTGTATAATTAATTATTGAAATGAAGTAAAAAACGCACTTACGGTTTCAAACCCTTCTTATCCCAAAAATAGCTCAATAGCTGAATTTTAAATTATGAAAATGACTGTAAATTCAGTCTATAAATACTTCATATTTGGAGTTTCGTAAAATTGTTACAAGTGGAAAATGTATGGTTTTGGCTATCCAGAGGTATAATTTTTTTAAAGGGGTGCCATTTGAAATTTTCAAAAAATATGACAGTTGGCAAGGTTAAAACAAAAATTTTATTTTTTCGATAAAGTACCTAGAAAAATTATGTGACAGTGGAAGAGGTCTTTAACTGTGCCTCAATTCAAAAATTACCGGCCTGTGCGATTAAGTTTCTCTAAAAAAAATTTCCACAAACCAATTTTGAAGAAAAAAGGATAGAACCGCGAAGTCGTTAAAGTTAGAGGTATAACATGTTACATAAAAAATAAGTAGTTTTCAAGTACTCTCCAAATCAGTAATAAAATATGGGGTGTTCCATTTAAAAAAATGCAAGTTTGATACGCCACTGGAGTACAGCACGTCCCTGGTGTTCAAAAATATTTTACAAATATGCCGGCTCTCTGTCTCCTAGGCTTATTTCATATTTCAGTGTTGTGCGCAAATCCATAAAGGTCAATAGATCGAAAATTTCTGTAATTTTTTTTTCTATAATTCAGTACAGCAAGAGAAATTGACCTGGCTAGCTCCAGGGCAGTAAAATAAACCTCTCAAAAGAGGGCGAAAAGGCCACTTAACATTGATACAAAATAAAATATCGACAACACTTTATTTACACCTTAATTTTACACAATCTGGTTTTGATAATTGTAACCATTTAATTCAAATTCCAGGATTGACTCCCAAAAATGAGATCAGAGCAATTTTTATTTTATCAGCGCAATCAAAATATCAATTAACGTTCTTAGTAAACACGCTGATCAAAATGTGTTGGAAAATCGTACGAAAAGGACAGATTAGTGCCTGAATACACTATGCGTTTTAACCGGTCCCGTTTGACCGGACCGTTTTGAACGGATGACTGCATCCAATGGATTTAAATGCGAGCGTTTACACTTATCCGGTTGCGTTCCGGTCGCCGGTCGCCGCAAGTAATGTAAACGCACACAACCTTCCGGTTTCGCAGGATGCCTTTTGAAAGGATGCGTTTAAAACGCATAGTGTATTCAGGCACTTACATACGTGTTTTTACACTGTACAAGATGGAGCCTTGAACGCCTTGATGTGGATTAGCAAACTTCCCCAAATTCTTATCTTCAACAGCTATTGTGCGAGCGGCCGTGTTACATATTGATAAGCGGACTGCATTCCCGTAAACAGATGTACGTGATTAATTGATCGCAACGATTTTGCTCTTCTTGTTGAATTCTCGATTATAGACGAAATTAAATGGCCCATAAACCATTCATCCAAGATGAATTAAATTTCAAAGTATTTATACAATTAAAAAAACCCTAAAAAATTTAAACTCAAAATTTGAAAGCTAATTAAAAAAACACATACCTTTATTTCAAAGGGTTATAATAAACGTCCGTGGTTCTTTATTGACCTTCTAAGTTTCCACGCTTAACTCCCACAATTTGGATATACAAATTGTAATTATGTAGAATAGTTAACTCAAATCCTCCAACAACTTCGGAGAGACACCAATATCAATAATGCGTCTATTTTTAAAGATCAACTATTTTAGCGAAGAAAAATTTAACGGCCAGCTTTTTCGAATATTTTCGTAGTAATAAGCTACGTTACCGAAATGCATAAGAGCGAACATAATCGTTAAGGATCGTATAAAATCGATCGATCATTTGAAATAAATATGTAACAAATTGTTATTCCTTATTTATTATTTCTTATTTGTTATTTCATATTTCTTATTCCTTATTTTTTTCATTGCGTGATGGGCTTAATAGCAGTCCATGTACTACAATGCGATCAAAAATGAGTTGCTGTCGAGTCACCTTTGAAATTTTTGTTTACATGGGAAATCATTCTTAAATTGAACTTCCAAAGGTGACTCGACAGCAACTCATTTTTGATCGCCCATTATATGGTCTAAGGGTTGACAGCTTCCATCCGGCTGCGTCTTTTACAGCGGTGTCCACGAGTAGGAGCGGCAGGAGAGGAGTTTGAAATAAGTAACAAACTCTGTTATTATAAATATCAATTGTAAATAAAAGTTGTCATCTCATTGTACTGTACTGTGTCTATGCAACCCGAGTCTACGATTGGCTGTTACCCGAAAGTAAACCCGAGACCCGCTACGTGCCCAAATAATCAACAATACCAGTGGTAAACGTAGCGGGATTATTTCCAAAGATATTCCAGAAATCCCGAAATTTACCGATTCTGTTTTTATTTTTTCTGATGAGGGGGTGCCATTTGAAATTTTTAAAAAATATGACAGTTGGCGAGGTTAAATCAAAAATTTTATTTTTTACCTAGAAAAATGATGTGACAGTGGAAGAGGTATTTAACTGTGCCTCAATTCAAAAATTATCGGCCTGCGCGATTAAGTTTCTCTAAAAAAATTTCCAAATATCAATTTTGAAGAAAAAAGGTTAGAACCGCGAAATCGTTAAAGTTAGAGGTATAACATGTTATATAAAAAATAAGTAGTTTTCAAGTACTCTCCAAATCAGTAATAAAATATGTGGTGTTCCATTTAAAAAAATGCAAGTTTGATACGCCACTGGAGTACAGCACGTCCCTGGTGTTCAAAAATATTTTACAAATATGCCGGCTCTCTGTCTCCGGCAAACACTTATTTATTTATTTAAATAATTTGAGCTGCCAACGGGTCAAGCCCACACAAGGCATCTGCAATTTACAATGGCAAAAAATAATAGGAAACTACAAAGAAAACTAAAGAAAGCTATTTATAAACTTAACTGACAACTTTCATAGACATTCATAGACTGACAATCGTTCTGTTTTTATATTACTTTTTATCAAAGATATGCTTTCATGAAAAACATCTATCCCAAACTGGTTCGCTCCCCGTGCCATTCTATGTAGCGGCGAGTTAAGATTGAAGTTTGTTCGACAATTTTTATGATAAAATCCAGTTTTGTTCCGTAACGAGCGATTTGGAACATGTATATTTATAAGAGATAGCAATTCTGGAGAGGCCACCTGTGCTTTCAATATTTTTACAAAAAGTGTTACGTCTGACAATGATCTTCTATCTGCAAGGGTAAGAACACCGAAATATAGACAAGATGATAAGTAGTTATTACATGAATTAGGGGTTTTCCTAGTTAAGTACGACATAAATTTTTTCTGGATTTTTTCTATTCGCAGTATGTATCGTGTGTAAAAGTGGTTCCAAATGGTGGAACAGTAACTTAAGCGAGAGTGTACAAACGCATTGAATAAAGTAATGATTGCCTTATGATTTTTGAAAAATTTTGTCGTCCTGATAATAAATCCCAGCATTTTGTTACATTCTTTACATATAGTGTCTAAATGACTATCAAACAGCAATTTAGAGTCCAACACAAGTCCAAGGTCTTTTACGCTATTAAGTTCGTTCGGACCAATTTTGTACAGGAAATTTATTTTATTGAAGTTCCTAGTAAAAGATATTTGGTAACATTTTATGAAATTCAAAAATAATTTATTCGCTTTGCAGTATGTGTGAAGTCTCTGGAGGTAGGAATTTAGCTTGTAACAATCACTATGGTTTTTGATTTCTAGAAATATTTTTAAATCGTATAGTAAAAATTGCTATATTTAAAACATCTGTTGATATCACTAATGTAGAGGATAAAAAATAAGGGGCCCAGGTGCGACCCCTGCGGTATCCGTGAGGATGTTTCAAAGAATTTAGAAAGGAATCCATTTATTGATGCCGCCTGGGAGCGATTCCTGAGCCTATTCGGTTCAAACTTTGCACCGTTGCCACATGTAACAAGTCAAAATGGGTTAAATCCAATTGCGTCTTAGAGTCCAACCGAGGTGCTCTGCCTCTTTTTTAGATCCGCTTTAACTTATTATGCAACTGAACTCATAGGGTTGGACATTTTATTTTGAGTTTTAACTAACCCCCCGCGCGCATTTTCAGCGTCAGAGAGCAAACGAAAGGATAATTATGTTGACCCCGCAGAAACCAATCACGGCGTTTTCAATTATTAATTTTAAAATTTTAATTAATTCATTCATTCATTTAATTATTTATTTATTTATTTATTTTCCCTTTTGTTCTGGGCCCTTCACAGGCTTTTTTGTTTTCTGTTTGAACATATTAAGATAGGTCGATTAAATAAATTAAATAAAGATTTTTCTAATTTTCTCGAAAACCACTCGACCGATCTTAAAAAAATCAAACGTCAAAATAAAGGACTTCGACAGACCTTTTAAACAAGCTACATTACTCGTTTTTATCCTTTATTCAGTGCTTTTCGATAAATCCCTGGTGGGAAGTTTTGAAATGAACACCGTGTATGTGCAGTTTAATCTTCGATCAAATGACAAAATAAAAAATTGAGCGTATGAATTCTGAAGAGCTGCAGCTGAGTTTTATGTAACCTAACTTAAAAACTGTAATGGTGAATATTGACATGTGGCTATTAATGGAAACAAAATTTGACAATAAAAAATAATGGTTACTGTTTAAAACAATAAACTTAATAGGAATTTGCGGGATTTCCCGAAGTTACTTCAATTCACCTTTCAGAGTAAACCTAAATACTAATTATGCCTACCTACCTATTATTAGCACCAACTCCTAACTACGAGTATAGTTCCTATAAAGACACCCTGTATATCTAACACTCGTGAACACGAAACATTTCTCATTCAATAAAATTAAATATTAAAACCCGCATAGCCAACCATTACTTGAAAATTCGAGTGAAAATTATTGTTAGAACTTTTTGTAATAATTATTCAGAATATATGCTCTAAATTGCTTAATGTCAAAGGGGAATTAGCTACCTTACTATTTTTGGAGCGTGAAAGAAAATGTCGTGAGAGATGACTGATAACAGAATATTTGTCTCCGGTCAATGAGACTACGCCATCAGTTTATCACTTGAGAAAAGCGATACAATCGTCATACAACTACAACAAATCACTTTATTTATTTGTCCCTTTATGTACCTACGTTCTTCCACAACAATAATTTTGATCGTAAGGGTCACATATACGTTTGCCTTTGGCATATTTACAATAATAGGTTTTTCATTATACTCTAGAGATCAAGACGGGAAAGAAATGATAAGATTTACTTTGAAGACTACAAGCGCTACAATATACTATCTTCGAATGTGCTGCTTTTGTTCCCCACACAATAAAGTTATAGTGATATTTATGATACGGTGCCGTTAAGTATTACATTGTATTTATATTTATATTCGTTTATAAATACAATCGTTAATCGTATTACATTCAGTGTTACCAATATCAACGTGACTGTTGCACATTGATTGTGAAACACTAAGGTCTATAGTTTACCTAAATAATTCCATAACGTGCGTTTTGAATGTACAGGGTGTCCCATTAATAATGGTCACAGGCCATATCTATGGAACCGTTAATTGCACAGCTTCGGGAAAACAATTTTGTTAACAAAAGGGGCCAAGAGAAATCGCTGGAATTGATTTAAAGTTTCTAGCTTCGCCACTAGAAGGCGTACGATTCATGGTTATAATAAAGTCACTAAATATAGAAAGTACCATCCATCCATTGGGCTCGTGTGTTAGAGAGAGAACGCATGATTTTTGCCCAAAAATGGCGGAAGTTACCAGATTCTAGTGACTTTAATGTTAGGGATTGTTCCACCTGTTTGGAGATATCTGTATATATTTTTATAAAACATGACAGTACTATGAAGTTAGGTTATAAAAAATTACAGCTGTTCACATTTTATTTTTTTAAGTTGGCAGCAAATTTGCCCAAAAATGGCGGATGATTGCGGTACTTTCTACATATACTTTAGGTTATAAGTAGAAAAATTACTTTTTTTCTAAAATATACCCAATAAATATGCATAAAAAATACATGCATAGCATTCTTGTATCAATTTTGCGTCATTTTGATGCAGCACATATTGCTCTATACTTTGTTTTTTAACTAGGAAGACGGATTTAAAAATCTGATTTACACTGAAAATGTCTCTAGGATCTAGGATCTAGTAACAAAAATAATAGACTCAATTTATACAGACATGTATTGTGGGTTGCGTGATGTGATTTTCTTTCACATTTGGATAGATTTCGTTATTTATGCTTTTGGGTTATTATTGGGTAGGAACTCCTTTATATTATGCATGCATCATACTTTTAAAAGCGAATTATAATAAGAGGTAATACATTGATAATAGGTAATCATCCTGCATACATTATTTGACCTTTGAAACATTATTTTGAATTGTAGTTTTAAATGTTTTATCAGTTGTAATACTACACAATCCGCATTACAATTTACAACAAATGTTAAGTTATTGGACAAATTCATAACAATGGAATTATACTCATATTATTAAACAGCACAGTTCACTGTTTTATGTATAAGCGAGTCACTGTCTTCCGAAAGTTCACTAAAACTGTCACTGTCCTCCGATCCGAGTGAAATAATGAATGGTTGTATCTAGTGTATCCATTAGGCCATCCAATCTACACATCTTATTTTCTTCCTTAATAACGTCGTGTTGCACACAATTCCGCCAATCGTCAGAGCTCACATTTGCAAC